AGGACGTAAAATGGATTTTATCAGATCAATCCTGACAGACAAAAAGACCAATACAGATAAGAGCATCATATGACTATGCAAACTGCGTAGCTCATTGAAAGCAGAAAGCATTGTAGTAGAAACATGTAGCAAGTGCAACTCATGTAATAAATCTAGATAGGAGCCAAATACTCATGATTTTTGAAAATAGATAGGGGCTGGAATCATGAAATTTCATGATTCTAGCAAATAAATTAGGGAGCTGAAATTCTGGATATTATGCATGAATAATGGAGTGGGACTTTGTACAGAACAGGATGAAGTTTTCACTTATGTAATCAGCCTACTGGCTCCGCGATGCCGATTAGTGGGAACTGAAGTATATCAAGGCCCGTTTATCATAGGCTCTTATAGCTCATGATGATATCTATATATATGGCCACACACGTCAAAGGAACCTCAGAAAACCCTAGGTTTGTAACAAGGTAAACAAGGTATCAGTGCAAAACAATTAGGCTTTTTTTTTCCTCACCTCTCACACCAGTCACCTCGCGCCTTTTCGGCAGAGTTTTGCCATCTCAAACCGCCCATGTGAGACACATGTGCTGCTGGAAATTCCTGCCGACAATATCACGCGCCGACGCGTGGCTCGCCAGAATTTTTCCAACAAACTTTCGTGGGGTTGGAATTGTGAGGACTTGTTGCCAGTGCTCTCAGTTTACTGTTTGAGGAGGTTTTGGTGTCCGTTTTGGCCTTTTTCAGACCAGCCATTGGTCGGGGTTAGGATTCGTGTATCTAAATCAATCCTTCAATTCCATTTTTTGTTATCACTCTTCCATCTTGTGGTCTTATGCTGTTCTTTGCAGCTACTTCATTCATATTTTGTTGCGGCTCATCGTTACTCGCTTGATCCACCTTGTTTGCGTACCTTCCGCCCATCCCGAAGGAATACCTGTTGCCTCACGTCGTCGAATCATGTCGCAACTCAATGCAATTATTATCAATATTGCTCTTGATGATCATTTATACGGAGATTTTTTTTGGTGGAAACCATATTGATGGGTTATGGTCTATCTTTCCACTTGATCGATGATGGACCGAATGACAAGCCGATAATAGTAGTGTTAATGACATTAGCACGGGTCGGTTCAGTCTGGAGATCCCAAAAAATGGATCTCCGGAACCGAACCGGTTCCAATAAATCTTGGTTCGGAAATTCGGGTATAATAGGTCGTTCGGTACGGATCGGAGATTTTAGTATTTTTTATTTTTTTATAAATTTTTTTAAAAAAATCTCCTAATTATATGTTATATGTTAGATGGTCAATTAATAATAAGTGTAGGTGGTTAAATTTTTTTTTTTTTGTTTAATTCATAAAAAGAGTGATAAATATCATTTAGTTGCAAAATATCATGAATTCAAAATATAATTTAATTTGAAAGATTTCAATGCTAATCATTTATATGCCAAAAAATCCGCAAGTGATAAGAAGCAGCCATAAACAATAATCAATTTAACTTCATAAATAAAAGGATAATTTGGAAATAAATTATGTCCAATTAAATTATTCTCTTATAATATTGTAAGATATGTATATAGTAAATATAAAGTTTGTTTCCGAAAAATGTGGATATTTAATCTTATTTATTCATAATTATTAATTTATTATTGAAATAATCGGTATATCCGTTCATAATACAATATTATGGTAAAAGTATTCATCAATTTATTTTTTAATTGAAATTATATCACCATTAAATAAATAATTATCTCCAAATTTTGTGAAAGACTTACTTCAGGGTCGATTTCCAAACATTCGATATTTGAATTTGATTAAGTTATAATTAATGATTTTATTAAAAAAAATATTTGACATGTTGGCTACCATTATGTGGTAGGAAGTATATTATTTTAATTTTCTTTACAAAAAATTGATTCCTCTTAGATTTAATAATTTCTCATATGTACGAAAATAAAATAATTATTTTTTCAATTATATAATTCTATTAACATTCAATAGTTGTTGCAAAAAAAAA